GAAACTTCTTACAAAATATTTTGTTTTACTTCTTGAAAAAACAATAATTAACACTTTTTGCAAATAATAAACTAATTGTATCAATATTCAATGTTTTTGTCTTTGTGTAGGGTCAGGCGAGGCACAAAGTTTTAATTTGAGTTTTAACCAATTATATTGTAATTTTTTTACAAAAAAATGAAACATATCAAATAAACAACTATCTAATTAGATTCAGCAAAACTCCCAGCTAATTAGTAGTTTTTTTAGGTTTAGTGAATTGTATTACTTCTTACGAAATATTTTTTTATTTTTTGAAAAAACAATAGTTAACACTTAATTGTATCAATATTCAATGTTTTTGTCTTTATGTGTAGGGTCAGGCGAGGCACAAAAGTGTAATATGAGTTTTAACCAATTATATTGTAATTTTTTTTACAAAAAATAATACATATCAAATAAACAACTATCTAATTAGATTCAGCAAAACTCTCAGCTAATTCTAGTAAACTATGCAATAGTGCTTACAACCAAAAAAATAACAGGAAAAAAATTGTTATGGTTTTTCTAACAATATTTTTTATCTTCTAATAACGAAGTCGTGAGAATTAAAACGATTGCTGATTACAAATCCTTTTCCTTCACTTTTAAATATTATTGTTGAAAATGTCTAAATTCCAAAATCGTTTTTGAGATAGCTATGATAGACCTTTTTACCCGCGGGCAGTTTATTGTGATTTTTTGTAAATAAAATATTAATTATTGAATTGTTTGAACAAACTAAAAATATTAAAATTGAGTTTAAATTTTTTTTAATAACCGCTATAATATACAATTTTTTTTATAAAGATTCGAACTTCTACATGTCTTCTGTTTCAGTTGATAGTTAAAATAATCAATTTTCCTTGTACATCCTGTAATACTAGCAATGCTTATAATTTTTAAATTAAAAAAATGTCTGAATTAAAATATAAAAAATAATGGAATAATTCTATTATTCATCCTATTCATTTGATGTAACAATTAGATATTTAAGTGATATAAATTATGATAATGGTAATTTCTTTTTCTAGTATAATTTCGAAAATATTTTCTCCTCCTAAAGATGTAATTAAAAATATTGATTTCAAATAAAACACTTCATTTTTTTGTGAAAGTTTTGATAAGTTCCATTCTCGGGTTTCAAGTTTTACTTGAATTACTAAAGTTACAATTATTTTTTTATATGTTACATTTTTTTGAAAAGTCGATTTTAACAACATTAACTTTAATAACATTTTACTGGAGAATTCGATTCCCCATTATTTGAGTTTGAACAATAATATTTTATAATGCACACAATAATATTTAATAAAACATTTCAGCATATAAATGGATCAAATTTAACATGCTTTTACAAAATTTGCATGAATCATTTTTCTTCGAGTTAATTAATTATTAATTGAAGTAATTTTAAAACATCTATTTTACATATTTTAACGGTTTATAATTATAATATTCATATGTATTTCTATTTAGAATTTACTATGTTAACAATGTGCCTTTAATTCTATTCAAGATTCAATAATTATTTTTTGCAACTGAATTTAGTTGTTGTTTAGCTTAGCTGCTCTTTTATTATAAATTCAGAGTTCTTATTTTTTTGAAATGTGTGGCTGTATAAATAAATTTAAAGACTAATATGTTTTTATTTATATTTTAAAGTCCATTTATTTATATTTTAAAGTCCATTTACAAGCGTTTTGAATTAAGTTTCAATTAAGAGAGCTTGAAGTAATACATATTTTAATTGTTGGAATATTTATTCGTTTTGATACTTTTTAATATCCCCTTAACTTATTTTCTCAAAATCTTCACTATATATATAATTTTTAATTTTTTGTATAATAAAACGAGCCCTGATACTTGCAACTACAATTTTAAGTCGCTTTATTATGCTACTTAACTTTTGAAGGAGACTTGAAAAGATACTTAATCCATATAATATTATTTTTAAATAAAATGCAGGAATCAAATATTGAAATTGAATTAAAATATGAAAATTATAATAAAATTAAATTTGTATTTTTTGTCCTTTTACAAAAATTTTGGATTTGGATTTCTATTCTGGAATGATGTATTAGGATTGATTTAGAATTTTTTCAGGACTTGTTATATTTTGAAACACATGTATATTGGAGAGCTTTTTCCATTATCATTTTCAATTTCACAATTATCCGTTATACGCTTTTATCAAAAACCAAAATTTAATAAATCAAGAATAATTTTATGAGACAACAATAATTTTGTTACACTTTTACAAATACAAAATTTGGTTCATTTTTACAATACACAAAGTCAGAGCACATTTAGGATATATTGGAGGTAATTTGCTATCGATATTTTTTTATTTAAAATCTAATTATGATGCTTCATATATTAAAATTATAGTACAGTGTTGACAAAGTTAATATGCTCCTATTATATTGAATTTTATAAGGTAGTTTAGGCTTAATGTGTTAATGTCATGTCGTATTCAAAATTAATCGTAAAAGGTCTACTCTAAAGGTTTACTGATCTCTGTTGATTGTAATTTGTCTTTGTTTGTTTACTATCAAAATTATTAAATTCTAATAAATAAATAAATTTTGTAAATAATCTGATAAACAAATTTATCAGATATGTTTTATATTTTACGCAGTGTTTTTTTATCATCACATTTTAATTCATCTAATATGTTTCTGATTGCAGCGCATATTATTAGTGTTTCCTAGGCATTTAGTACGCAGAATTTGTTGTGTAATCTTTGAAAATAGTGGCATGCCTGCAGGTATACATTTTTTTCCTTGGCATGCTGGATTTTCTAGGATGTTTGTGATTTTTTTAGCATGAACCGGTGTAGGTGTACTCAAAAAATTACAGTGCCAGGCATACACAGCATTTGTAGAATATGGTAGTCCATCTTTTTTTGACCGCGATTTTTAATATAAGACTCTTTAGTATAAGATCATTTCGGCTATGCTGCAATATCCCACTCCTGCTTTTTTTTGTCCGATTTTTTGAAAAAATTATATGGATTTTTAGCATATAATTGCTTTAGCAAATCTATTTTTATTTAGGAAGTTCCAATGGTAATTTAAATTTTCTTTGTAGCCTTTTCTTCCTCACATATGAGCACAAACTGCCCTCATACCTCAAATTTGTATTTTGTATGTCCAAGACAATTGTTGGATTTTTTTACTGCTACCTTTTTGTACGATCAGTTCATAGATTCTCATCAAAGCTTCTATTTCGTTATTATGCAGCCTGATAATTTTTTGGAATGATTGTATAGTCTTTCATTGTTTGATTACCGATTTATTCAAATTTTGAATTGGAACTCCTATGCAAAGCCAGTAGCCATACTTACTGTTTTTGCAGCATGTACGATCTGTGTCTGCTTAATTTGACATATAATTTCAATTTAACTATGTCTTACTATTTTTTTTCTATCCCAGTCTTCATTACTAGTTATTTTAAGTGAAATGCGTTTTCGTACCATATAAGAGCATTTTTCGTCATGCAAAAAAACTTTTTCAATAATGTTACAGAGAATTTGTGTACTTTGTTATTAATTTGTGAAAAGCCATAATCTCCAGAGTGGTAATATAGACGTTTAGGTAGAGTTTAGCATCTGTAACTGCTTCAATTAAATCCTTTTTTTTTTAAACTCCAATGCTCATTATACTTCTAAAGGAAACTTACCCTTATACTTCGAATCAGGATTTATATGTCTAAGACAATTGATAGATTTTGATACTACTAACATTTTGTACCGATTCGTCATTTATGCTCAATTTTCCTCCGATATATTCATAGATTCTCATCAAAGCTTTTACTTATCATGACCCCTTTTTCTTTTTCATACATGAGCACAAACTGCCCTCATACCTCAGATTTGTATACTTTGTTATTAATTTGTGCAAAGCCATAATACCTCTAAATGTATCTATCAAACTTTGCTTCTTATTTTACTTGAGAGAACTTACCCTTACACTTCCAATCTCGATTTATATTATATGTCTAAGACAATTGATGGATGTTGATACTACACTTTTTTGTACCCATTTTCATCAAAACTTTTGTTTCATTTTTATTCAGTCTGATACTTTTTTGGGATGATTTTGTAGTCTTCATGTGTAATTTCTGATTTCTTTAAAATTGGAATTCACTTGCAAGCAAGTAGTAGCCATACATACTGTTTTTGCATCATATACTGTCTATTTCTGCAATTTTGAAATATAATTTAAATTTATCTGTTCAAATTCTAGTATTGTCAGTATACTTTTCCAGCCTCCATTACTAGTCACTAGGCAAAATGCATTTATTTTCTTCCCTTATTGGTGCATTTGTCGTCATGCAAATAATATTTTCATTACAGAGATTTTGTATACATTGTTATTAATTTGTGTCATAACCACTTGAGTGGTAATATAGAAGTTCATGTAGATTCCAGCATCTGTGACTGCTTCAATCAAATCTTCTATTTATATTTTGGAAACTCAAAAAAAGTAGTTCTCTACGATTTATTCATAAATTTTCATTAAGACGGCTTTACACTGTAGAGAAAAATCTAGATACAGTGTAGACTCTCTAGCTAGAGCGCCCTACCGTTGTCTGTACACTGTAAAGTGTTTTTCTCTTCCGAGATCACTTTCGTACTCTAGGAGAGGAGTAGGTAAGAGGTGCTAGAGCAACTCTACCTAGACTCTCTAAAAAGCTATGTACACTTGGGGCTAAACATATTCATATATATTAATCTAAGACTTTACAACTAGACTATAGAAGTAAGCCTCGTTTTTCAGTCTAGTTCTTGTGAGACAATTGACAATGTTTGCCGTTTTGTATCTTTGATAATAAAGTTATTATGATGAGTTCCCGGCAAAAGCAAGGCAATATCAATATGTTTGATTTTTTATTTATTAATTTTTATCTTATTTTGTCATATGAAGTCTTAAAATGTATCCGACAATAAAATTTTTAAATCACAATATGAATTAACTTTATTTACTTACCAGCACATCTGTATTAATAACATCAGGGGCACTGCGAACACTGCCAATTATATCTTCTGTTGAATTTGTCTGGATATTCATAAACTTGACAGTCTCAAAAAACTCCCACTTCGGTTTATACCTTTCATCTGCACCCTGAACAGTTTTGAACCTTTTCATTTTTCTCAGATGCTCATTTAACTGGCATCTCAAATTATGAATTTTGACTTTTACTATTTTAACACCCAAATTTAAAGACGTTGCTATTGTTTCCAAGGACTTACGTTTTAGGTTTCGATTCCCATTCTCCTTCAACCGGACATTCCACAATTCTGGACGAGCCTCTACCAATTCAATTAATTGAAACACTTTATTTTTCTCCCAAACAAACTTTTCGCACTGTTCTTCATCACATAATGCTTTCATTTTCCAAAATCAAAAAAACAACTTTTCTTGGAAACACAAATAAACAAACCAATGCAAAGCAAAACCAAAAAACTCTACGTATAGTACAAAAAAATATCCAACAAGTTGAATAATGCTAGAGGTAATAGCTAGAGCGTGGAAGTTGTGCAGTGACTCTCGCTAGAGTGCTCTAATAGCTGTGTACACTATGGGACTCTACATTGAGCTTCTCTAGTCAAAAACTCTACAGTGTATCGGCACCTTTAAAGCTTTTATTTTGTTATTATGCAGTCTGATATGGGATGATTTTTTAGCCACTTACTGTTTTTCATCTGCATGTTTTACAATGTATATTTTTCCATAAGTTTAAATAAAATTTTAATTTAACTCTTCAAATTTAGGAGTAATAACTGACCATTTATTCATTTATCCAGTGTCCAGTGCTAGTTGTGTTTCCTCCTGCAGAAGTATTTGTCCTCAAGCAGAAACTGTAACATTTGCCTTCCAGGTAAACCAGTTCCCTTACTTTTAGAAAGAACTTTTATACTTTTTCATTAGTCTGTATCCATGCGTAATCAGCAGAGTGGCAGTATGGTAAATTATGTGGATTTTCTACCATCTGCTTTAATCAAATCCTGTATTTTCATTTTGGAAGCTCTTGATTACCACACCTTCTTTTTTGTGCAGGAGACAATAAATTACCTTTAAACCTCTAACCTGAATTTATATGTAAGACAATTGTTCGATTCTTACTACTACCTTTTTGTACCGATTTGCCATTTGCGTCTATAATGTTTGCGATTAATTCATAGATTATCGACAAAGCTTTTATATCTTTATTTTGCGGTGTGATGATATGTTTTATTGTTGACTTTTTCAAAATTGGATATCATTTGCAAGTCATTAGTAGCCATACTTACTCTTTTAGTACCGATACTTCTGTATCATACTTTTATATTATACTATCTGTTTTTGCATTTGTAAAATTGCTTCGGTCAATTTCTCTATTTTCATTTTGGAAGTTTTAACGATTACCACATTCTATAAGTAATCATAATTTACTTCTGCTTTTTATATGAGAGAACAAACTATTTTTACAGCTCCTCTTGTTTACGATAACTTTATAGATACTCATCAAAGCTTTCATTTCGTTATTAGTAATATTTTCTGGTGGATTTACAGGATTTTCTTTTCATCAGTAGAAATACATACTGTTCTTGCATCATAACTATCTGTTTTTGCTGTTTGTTTTATCATCAATTTGTTTTATTAATAATATTTTGATGCTTTTATTTGTTAAAGGTAAGTCTGGTATTGTTTTTTGATGATTTTGTAGTATTTCCTGTGTGATTTCTTCAAATTCTGAATTAGAATTCACGTGCAAACCAGTAGTAGCTATGCTTACTGTATTTTTATTATTATCTATCTGTTTTTGCTTAGTCTAAAATATAAATTGAATTTGACTGTGAAAATTGTATCCTTAATAATTGACTTTTAATAATTATATATATATATATATATATATATATATATATATGTATATATTTATATATATATATGTATATACATATATATATATATAAATATATATATGTATATATTTTACCTTGTCTATCTCAGAATTAGTTTTTAAATAAGTTATAACTATATTTCATAAATTATCTTAGCATTTTACTTAACAAATTTAGTATTTTGTGAGATCCAAATGCTTTGTTGATGATTTGGAAAAAAATAGATCTGCATCTATTCATTATATATATTCTTGCATTTTCAATTTTCAATATTTGCATAATACTTTCCAATTTTACATAACAGTTTTGGTAACTACTTGTTCCTTCTAAAACAAAAATTTTATTTCGAATTTTATGAAAAATATTTTATATAGTTAAATTATATAGTTATATACAATTTTTTATTTCATTCTATCCATATTTTTTGTCACCAATATCACTTTGTCTACAAAAGATATTTTTTGCTATACAAGGCTTTTGAACCTGAATTTAATTTTATATATATATATATATATATATATATATATATATATATTCCAATTCTATTACATTGCATTCTGAGCTTATACAATAATTGTTCTATGTTTACGGTCTTTAAAAATAAATTCAATATTGTGCAATGATTTATATTTTAATGCTTTTTTAAATTTTTAAAGTATGATAAAAAATGTATTTATTCCTATTTATGGGTTTTTCGGTAATCTCGGGTTATGCTCTCATATTTGAAAATGATATTAAAAATGAAGAAAATAAATTTTAAAAATTTGCTGAACACTTTCATATTCATAGCTGATACTGAATTTTAAATCATTGTCTAGCATTTTTATGCTTATGCATGAGTTTATTATATCTCTTGTACTTTTAAGCCTCTCGAATAAAATAAATTACAATTTTTTTCTGTTTTATAAAAATCTGTCACACCAAAAATTATATATGGCCAAAAATTTTAAATTTTTTGTAGATCAAACATACATACTAACATAATTAAAAATAATTTTAATATTGAATACTAACATAAAATATTAAAGTAATGTATCACATTATATCTGATGATCGATTATTTTTAAACAATTTTATTAATTACCATAGTCATAAATTATTATTCATACTATTCACCAGCACAATCGCTAAAATAAATATTAAAACTACAAATGAATTTGGTTGAAACAAACTTATTAAAATAAGATATATTTGAAAAATCTATTAATATAAATAAGCATTATCGTGCAGCTGCAATCTCACTTGAAAATATGAATTAAAAATATGTTATTGAAAATAGTTCATTTCGGGCACTACGGTGTGAAAGGGCAATGAGGAAGGTAAACTCGAGTTGCAGTTTATTTCAACTCACAGACCTGCTAGTATCCATTGTTTTATATTGCTACTTTTTTTCCAACTGCTATTTTTGCTCCTAGTGAGAATCCAATTGGAAATTTTATTTTAACCCAGATTTTAATATGAAACATAGCGTTCATTAAAATATTTTATTGAATGATATATAAAAACAATTAAAGATTTACAAAATATTTTTTATATTTGTTTTTCTCAACTGATGTAATGTTTAGATTTTTGAACAACACGTGTAAATATTATATATAATGAAATAATTCAAATATTCTTAATTTCACGTTGTAATATAAATTTGCCAAGAAATAATATAAATATAAGTTTGTTTATTGACAAACTTTGAACATTAATTTATTTATTTTAAAATCTGTTTTTATTCTCAAATCGTTTGTAATAAACGTAGTATTGAAGAAGTTTACACTTGCAGAATTTGAGTGATTTTTTGACTATACTTATCTTTTCTACTAAATAAGTCTTAATGTATTCTGACAAGAAATCAGATTCTAATCAGAAATATTTTGTCCATATAGAAATACATGCTTTTTTAAGTTTTTCAATGAAGAATATTGAATATATATTTGTCTAAATATTCTACTATGTCGTTACCATCTTGATCTCCTTTATTATTTTTTATTATCTTGAACATATTTCCAATTGGAATCAGTTCTATATTCCGATGTGAAATTTTTTCAATTAAGTAAAACTTAAATATTGATATCATTATATTACTTTTAGCACAACAATCATTTAATTATTTATTTTTAGTATATCTTGTAACTTCTAAAACGTTTTATTTCAATTATTAAAAGGATGATTATTTAATTTCTACCAAAAATGGCTGAATTTATAAAAAGATAAAGTTTCAAATATTAAATTTTCGTTAAAACAGGAATTTAACATTTTATTAGCACATATAATATTTTGGTACAAAATTTTCCTTAAATTGAGATTAATTGCTACATATATATATAATTTGTTGTTAAAAAAATTTTGAATTGAATGAATGAAATTTCTGAATTTGCTATTAAGCATTTTACATATTTTATTTTATAGCCTGGAAACAGTTTTTTGTATAGTTAATCTAATTAAAAATTGTAATTGGTTTAAAATAAATTCTGCAGTTCAAAAACACTAATTGTTGGTATTTATTTATTAACTTCTGTCATGATTGTCTGTTTCTGTTATTAATTACTAATATTAGTAAAACTCTATTTATTTTCACGTACTTTAAAAAAATTATTGAGATACATTTTCTAAATCTTGGAATTTGTAAAATCATTTTTAACGAAATAATAAACAGAATGTAAAAAGTACGTGTTTTAGTTACATTTTATATTCAGAATGTGTAGAAGTGCGTATAATTTTTTATCCTCAATTTTTCCAAATATTAAATATTTTATTTTCCAAATAAATGAATATTGTAAATGTATACTATTATTCATTATATTTTACAATTTCATATTAAAAACTATATAAAAATAATCTATGAATAGTGTATAAGGCATAGACAAATAAATTTTAATTATAATTAAATTCTATCTATATATATTTAAATACTCTATACTTTTTTACTATAAATATTTGAAGAACTATTTGGCAATTGCCAAAATATAATATGAATCTATATTAAAAGCCAATTCGACAAGTTGTTAGATAATTTATTATTAATACAATAACTTTTTTAAATAAAGTAGAACGAAAATATTTTAAGAAGTTGTATTTTATAGTATAATTGGCAACTTCTGCAACTATACTAGGATTTTTTCTCTAGAGTATTTTTAGGTTGAATACATATAATTTTGACCATAGTAAGATATTTTTTCCTTATAAATGAATCATATGTTCTCAGTATTATTAATTTTTCATAACACACAAATTTTATTTTAATGTATATGATAAAAAATATTTTAAACTGGACTGTATATAATATTGTAAAATGATCGAATAAGAAAAAAATACCAATAATTTTATTTTTTCTATATCATCTAGCGTGGTTGTCAATTTTTATATTTCATGATTCTCAATGGATTATATGTTATATTTTATTATTGTTTAGATTCATATTCTATTTTGCAATAACTTTGCAGGTACATCAGGCATTAGGCATATTTTTGAATGCTCCTAAATTTCGAAATTTTATAATATTAAACTAATTTATAAAAC